TTTGTGTCTTTCTTGGCCGACTGCAAGTAAGCAGCTTGTAGACCTGAGATGAGTTGCCCTGTATGACATCAAGAAACATTAATTACTCCCCCCCCCCCCGAAAAACAGCAAGCAAACCTATAGTCTCTGCCAACATGGTTCTCCACTCTACTTTTTGTAGCACCCTCCTAGTTTAGCTAGGAAGAGCTCCTAATGGTTGGACAGGAGCTGTTAGCAGCTCAGGTGTAATAGCTAGATGCGTCAAATTGTGGTCAGGGCTGAGAGACTCTTCAGGCCAGCCCCTCTGTAATTTGCCCCTGCTCTAAAGCTTTTGGAGGAGAGGACTTGGAGGCAGTGGGTGGATCTGAGGAGTGGCTGGCTGCACTCTGAGAAACCTCAGCCAATCCCCAACAGAAGGCTTGGGAAGGGACTTGGACTCCCTTAAGAGTGCAAGAGCATGCTAAGTAGCAGGAGTGTGGTGGTGGAGCTTTGTGAGGAATCGGATGGAAGAAGGAGTAGGAAGATGTGAGGCTGGAGGAGGAAGGCTGCCAGGAGGCCTAGTGGGATGGGGCCTGTCTGCGAGCCTGGAGTCAGGGAGGAGGAAAACACGGAACTCACTGGCCCCCTGAGCGAGGACCACCTCTATGGCAGGGAAGGAGCAGCCCAGCTGATAGGACTGATAGCAGCAGACATCCTGCATGTGGTACAGGAGAGAATCTGAGTAAGTACAACTGCACCCCATGGGCAGATAGGATAAGGAGCACCCTGCTGTGAAACTAGATTAGCCCCCTACTAGTGACTGTTCACCTCAATTAAAGGGACAGGAGCCATGTCCCCTGCTCAGGAAGTAAGTTTCCAGATTGCTGGGTGAAGAGGAGTTATTCTAGGGTCTGGGGTGGTACAACTAGGAGATGCTGTCTAGCACTCCAAGAGAGATTGTGTTGCTGAAGAAAAAGAAGCTTGTGAATTGTTTAAGAAGTTGTTCTCAGTTATCGGTTCCCTTGGGCATACTGTACCTCCTTACCCCATCCAAGTTCGAATTCCCTCAATAAATACCAAAGCCAACGCTTAAGGACTGGTTTCTGTCTCTTGATTAAAACTTGTGGGGAAAATGCTGAATGACTGGATGTGCAGGACTATGGGGGGGACCCACATTCCCTAAGGGGGACAGTACACTACATTATATCATCGCGGGACCTTGTTTTCTGTATTGAGAACTTTCATAATTTTAGTAAGCTATTAATTTTTTATATGAGACTAGCATGCAAAAAAAAAAGGACGATCATTTGTCCAACATTCTCATTGGTATTCTCATTTTTTTCATTGATATTCTCAATGTTGTCTCTCTGTGTTGACTTAAAGTTGTATTAAACCCAAAACCAGAAATAAAATATAGCAGCCTAAAGTGTCACTAAACCAGGACCCTACATTCACTCTATCTGGTCTCTCTCAGTACACACAACATGGAAATGCAATTATTTTAGTAAATATAAACAGCTAAATACCTTTTATCAACCAGCAGTATATAGCTGTCATGAGAGTTCTATAAGTGTCCAGCTGAGCACTGGTTAAAGCTTGAAGGAGGAGTTTTCATTCTGCTCTGACTGTCCTATGATGCTGCATAACCCCTGTACCTCTGTCTGGACAGTGCTGATTGGCCCTGTGCTGATCACATGCACCCTCCCAAAGAAAAAAAAACTCTCTAGCAATACACACTAAAATGAGCATATGCAGAGTAACTCCTAGAGCTCTGTGTTATCAGCAGGTGGATTGGGACAGAAGAAGAAAGGGAGGATCAGAGAAGACAGGATCAAACAGCCTTTTTATACAAAGGATTATACAGAGGATTAACCCCTTAGGTTGCACAGTGAGTATAATAAGCATGCTTTACTGCATATGCAGACTGATTTTACTGTTATGGGTTCAGTAACACTTTAACAATCATTAGATGTGGTGGTTGCAATAGTTTTTATATTTAGGCTTTTTCCCTCTGCTTTCATCTGGTAATTAACACACCTCTTGTGTTGGAGTGCCTCCACTGCGGATGAAGGAGCGCAGAGGGCAGCATTGTTAATCTTGGGGGAGAGGGGTTAGATGTACTAGGAGATTTAGAAAATTGAACACAAAATACAGCTTTTGGAGCATTCATCTCATAATCTGATCATTAGTACACAGCCTTCAAAAGCTGATCGTGATAGTTCATGCAAAATTATCCGAAGGGACAAGAACAAACATTTTTCTCGTACGATAACAGAACAAATGATTTTCATGTAATCAGTAGAGTATTTGTCTGTAAAAAATCGAGTGTTCAAGACCGCTGGGAAATAAAATAATTTATTACAATACGATACAATACATTACATTTCCATCTTGAAAACTTTCATACTTTTAGTAAGCTATTCATTTTTGATATGAGACTAGCATGCAAAAAAAAGGACGATCATTTGTCCGATATTCTCATTTTGTATACGAGGCTTAAGAGTCCAGAGGCTAATGGGAAAATATTGTGGGAGACACACATCTCCTAGATGTCTTGGTTTATATTACATGAACATGAACAGAGAGCAATGAATGCATTTGACAGACCTCAGAAGAAAGGACCAAAGTCACCATTAGACAATTGCTGTTTATTTGTGACATTTGTGGGTCATGTAGTGACCGCTGGAGGAATGTCCACTGACCCGAAGTTGAAGCTGTAACACCAAGGACCATCACTGAATGTAATTCTTTCTTCAGATTTTGTGTTACTGCAAATATAATTTGTGATAAATATCATCTTATTTTTATTTAAAAAAGCACTGCATTGACTTGAGATATTTCTGCTTTGCTTTTGCTAGGAACATTCATCAAAACAGGAATGAATTCATCATCCACTAGATGCCACTGTTAAACCATGTCAATACTTTCTCACACAAACAGTAGGATGTGAGTGATGCTGTATATAGAATGTAGTGCATGGTTTAAAAAATATAATGAAAGCAGCAATTAATTCAATTTGTGTAGGTTGAACAACTCATGGATTTGATCTCCATGAAAGAAAAATTGACTAGTAAACTCCTGGATACCCGCAAACATTCTTTAAAGTGTGGTCTCCATGCATTCTGTATATTCATACCTCCATGCTGCCTGAAAACTTTATCTCTTTTTAGGACTCTTATCCCAGCAGAGACAAACCTAGGGTATTTGGGCGCCATTGTATGACTTTGAGATCTCTGCATAGCCACCAAAAATGATGGAGATATACCCATGGTCTTGTGTGAAATGACTGGAGAAAGAACAAACAGAGGGTGCACCAGCCTAGTGCATTACCTTAAAGAATGTTTAATAAGAGATAAAAAATAGGTATTGTACTCACAAACGTCAGTAAAATCAAAGGCACATCATGAAAGAACAGCTTTGTCAAAACCGTCCTACAAAAATGATGGAGTTATACCCATGGTCTTGTGTGAAATGACTGGAGAAAGAACAAACAGAGGGTGCACCGGCCTAGTGCATTACCTTAAAAAATGTTTAATAAGGGATAAAAATAGGTATTGTACTCACAAACATCAGTAAAGTCAAAGGCACATCATGAAAGAACAGCTTTGTCAAAACCGTCCTACATTACTGTCCACAATGGGGAGTGTAGACATCCAATAGGCTAACACGTTTTGAGGACCTGCCTCTTCCTCAGAGCCAAGAGGAGCCAAGAGGAAGAGGCAGGTCCTCGAAAGGTGTTAGCCTATAGGATGTCTACATTCCCCATTGCAGACAGTAATGTAGCACGGTTTTGACAAAGCTGTTCTTTCATGATGTGCCTTTGACTTTACTATCGTTTGTGAGTACAATACCTATTTTTCTCTCTTATTAAACATTTTTTAAGGTAATGCACTAGGCCGGTGCACCCTCTGCTTGTTCTTTCTCCATTCAGTACAATTGGATTTCCCTGGTCTTTTGAGGGCAGCAAGGTGTGCACATTCTAGGACATTCATGTTGTGGTCCTAGCATTCACTGAGTCCATCCCCAAGCGCAGGAGCATTTGTGTTTGCTGGTTCTCATGTGAAATGCTTTATTGTAAAATCTTACATTGTTACCCATGCCTATTATTGTACCACTGTTCACTACATACACATGTAAAACTTCAATAAAAATCATTTGCAAATGAAAAAATGTTTATATAATATACACAAATGAACAAATTATTTAAAAAGCGTGTGTGCATTGACCAATTTAATGAAAGACACACACATATAAATATTCTTTTATTCAACAACTCTTGGGAGGCACTTCCCTTTCAGTGTCCGGAAAAATATGATATCACTGAATAGGAAATGCTGGATGTTTTGATAGCTACATGCAGTGATGTTCCCTTCAGTGCCTTGTTGTTCCCATCTGTGATGCAGATCTCTTATAATGTCATATTTCACCTGAGTTCACACTTTACAGAGCATCAGATGAAAAGCAAACAATTGCACAGTGGGTCTGACCCAGCAGGCTTCACACCTCGCTATATAAACATTCCAGTTTATCCTGAGAATCTCTTGCTCACGGCAGGTGGGTTTGCTGTTGTGTGTCTACAGCTGGCGGAATTTAGACTCTTCCTACTCTTATGTCAAATTCAATTATATTTTTTGCCTCTGGCCAACCATTTCATGTGTGGTACTTCCTAAGGGTCACCAGTTTTCTGAAATAATAAAATATTGTCTGTGTTAAACAGATCTGTCGTGGTCCTCTGTGGTGGATTATTGTAGTACATTATTACATGGCACTGTTTGCTAAGGAATGTTGGTTTGTCTGAGGGTTTGGTGTACAAGTCTCATGGTGAAAATGCTAAAAGCCACCTCACTATCCCAAACATATACATGATGCACCTGACCCACTACCCAGAGCCCTGCCATTAGCATTACCCATAACATAAAAATCACATACATGTTCAAATCAGACTGAAAATGTTACTAAACCCAGGACCCTGCATTCACTATATCTGGTCTCCCACAGTGCACAGAACATGGAAATGTTATTATTTTAGTAAACAAAAACTGCTATATACCTTTTATCATCAGCAGTTAAAGCAGGCTTGTGACTTCTATCAGTGTCCAGCAGAGCACTGGTTAAAGCTTGTAGGAGGAGTTTTCTCTAGGAGGATGTAGAACCCCTGACCTCTGTCTGGCCAGTGCTGATTGACCCTTTGCTGATCACATGCATTCTCCCAAGAATAAAAAAACCTCTCTAGCAATACACACCAAACTGAGCATGTGCAGAGTGACTCCACATGGTATGTTTTATAAGGAGATAAGAGGGAGACACTGGAAGAAAAGGAGGACCAGAGAAGACAGGATCAAACAGCCTTTTTACACAATGCTGAGGATTAACCCCCTTAGGTTCCACAGTGAGTATAACAAGCATGCTATACTACATATACAGTCTGATTTTACTGTTGTGGGTTTAGTAACACTTGAAGGCCATAATGTCCAAATCACAATATGAAGACAAAGAGGAAACGTGCTTAGACTCCTACGTGTAAAATAATATAGTATAATATCACTTTGATATCACCAAACTTTCTGAGATGGAAAAATGATACATTATAACACAAAGTATTTAGGCAACCGACAAACCCGCATATTGTCTTCAGTTCAATGGCCCATGAATGACACATCTACTTTTCCTTCATAGTTGATTTTTAGATAACAAATTTGGTAATTCAGAGGTTGGATAAATGTTTTACAGCAGTGAAACACTTGGGATATTTACTGTAAACAGTGCTATGGTAATAGAGGTCTGAACATCAGACCTTAAAGAAATACAACAGAGAAGGAAAAGGACATACAGGGACAGTTGTGCAGCAGGTAGAGCCTAATTTTACTTGGAAATACACGCAGGTTTCTATAATCATTTGCACAATGTGACCACTTGGAACATATACATCAGTGTACACTGTGTGATCCTGAGGAAGTGTAAGGCAGCCCATACAGTGATCATATTTTTTTCTTTAACTGGTGGGTTGAACAAAAAAAAAATATGATCCGATTCTGATGTGGATGGGGGAATCCTTTCCATTGTAGTATTGAATTCTGACAGCAGGTAGACTCCCCCACCATCAGAATACAATGATTAGTTTTGCTGGCTATAGCTGATGGCACTGATCCTTCAGGAAAAACCTGATAGGCTGGTTGTACACAAGTCAATTGATAGATCGACTTGTGAACAACCAGCTAGCCCTTATATGGGTTAAAAGTCAGCTGATTCAGCAGGGACCAGCCAACTTTTAACCCTTGTATGGGCTAACTGGTTGTTCACAAGTCTTTCCATGTATGGCAGGCTTAAGGGATTTCATTAGTTAAAGGATAATTACATTAAAATTAACAAAAGAGGATTACTGACTCCCCTTCTGTCCTCCACAGGCAAGCCACTTTAGCCTATAGGGGATAATGGCAGTCTGCTACAGAGCCAATTTTCTGCCTGGTACAAATGCCGGATTAATAGCATTATGAATTATGGAGCTTAGAAGTACAGTACTGGCCTCAGGCAGGCATAGCCATAGAGACACTACAGAGGAAATGGAGTGGTCCATACTTACTTTGTTATGTAAAAATGCAGTTAACCCAAAGTCAACTTGTACTTTCCCAGTGTGGGCCAGAGCAACAGGTTGACTTAACTGCTGCCCACCACAAATGTACATACTCATCTTTTCCCCTTCTTACTGATATGCTCAGCTGCAGGTAGGTGAGTTGACCTATATTCTCCCCAGACCTGGAAGTATCTAGTAATTTTCTTCACTCCCTGTGGCTGAACAGACCAGTGGTCAGAAACTAGTAACCAGCAGTAAAGAACACGTAAGCAGGGCACAGGTCAGAGCACAAAGAACACGCTGAAGGCCAGTCAGCACTGACATTAATGCCCCATGCACATGATAAGAAAATCGTACGAAAAATTTAGCGGAACCACTGATCGAACGATTTTCTCTTCATTGATGAGCAGGATGTTTTAACCAATAACGATATTGTGAACGAAAAAATCCAGTTGAACAACAGTGAAAAATGTTGTTGTTTCGCATACGAACGACCGATTTTCTATGTGGTGGTATGACGGTCGTACGAAAAAAAAAACCTATCAAGCGCTATCACGCATAAGCGGAAACAGAAGATGACCCGGATGTTTATGTCCAAGGAATCTTCGTAAACACGAACGAAAAATCCAAATGGTAAAAGTAGATTGGCCTAATGAGATAATGAAACCAGAATGATGCATATTATATTTTTATGTATCATTATTTACAGTCAGGTCCATAAATATTGGGACATCAACACAATTCTAACATTTTTGGCTCTATACACCACCACAATGGATTTGAAATGAAACGAACAAGATGTGCTTTAACTGCAGACTGTCAGCTTTAATTTGAGGGTATTTACATGCAAATCAGGTGAACGGTGTAGAAATTACAACAGTTTGCATATGTGCCTCCCACTTATTAACCTCCTTAGCGGTATTCCCGAGTGTAGCTCGGGGTAACATTTCAGTACCAAGAGCGGTAACCCCGAGCTACACTCGGGCTTACCATGCAGCACTGCTCAGGCATGTGTTCTTCACTTACCTTACCCTGCGCTCCCGCGATGTGTCCCCTGCAGCGTCCCCGGCCATCTCCTCCGCCGATGCCGGCATCTGGCTTCTGTGTCCTGTCCCTGTGACGTCGGGACTAGAGATGAGCGAATTATTCAAAAATCCGATTCGGCTGATTCGCCGAATTTGCGGAATAAATTCGATTCGATGCAAATTTATTCGCTGCGAATTTAACTTATTAAAAGGGTTTCTAGGCTTCAGAGAGCCTTTATATTAGTGCAGAACACTGTACCTTTAATTTAAATGCCCTTGGAGTCTGCTGGGGAAGAGAAATAATACTGTCAGTCAGTATGACATGCAGATGAGTGCCGTTGATCTTAGAATCACCGCACACTTCACTCATTTGGGCAGTCACGGGGCACGACGAAGAAAGAAGAAGAAGAAGAAGAAGAAGAATGAAAAGAAAGAAATGAAAAGAAGAAGAAGAAGAATGAAAAGAAGAAGAAGAAGAATGAAAAGAAGAATGAAAAAGAATGAAAAGAAAATGAAAAGAAGAAGAAGAAGAATGAAAAGAAGAAGAAGAAGAATGAAAAGAAGAAGAAGAAGAATGAAAAGAAGAATGAAAAGAAGAAGAAAAGAATGAAAATGAAGAAGAATGAAAAGAAGAATGAAAAGAAGAAGAAAAGAAGAAAAGAAGAATGAAAAGAAGAAGAAGAAAAGAAGAATGAAAAGAAGAAGAAGAAGAATGAAAAGAAGAAGAAGAAAAGAAGAATGAAAAGAAGAATGAAAAGAAGAAAGAAGAAGAATGAAAAGAAGAATGAAAAGAAGAAGAAGAAGAAGAATGAAAAAAGAAGAAGAAGAATGAAAAGAAGAAGAAGAAGAATGAAAAGAAGAATGAAAAGAAGAAGAAGAAGAAGAAGAATGAAAAGAAGAAGAAGAAGAATGAAAAAGAAGAATGAAAAGAAGAAGAAGAAGAATGAAAAGAAGAAGAAGAAGAATGAAAAGAAGAAGAAGAAGAATGAAAAGAAGAATGAAAAGAAGAAGAAGAAGAATGAAAAGAAGGAATGAAGAAGAAGAAGAAATGAAAAGAAGAAGGAGAATGAAAAGAAGAAGAAGAAGAAAAAAGAAGAAGAAGAAGAATGAAGAAGAAAAAGAAGAAGAATGAAAAGAAGAAGAAGAATGAAAAGAAGAAGAAGAAGAAGAATGAAAAGAAGAAGAAGAAGAATGAAAAGAAGAAGAAGAATGAAAAGAAGAAGAATTCCAGTACAGCAAAAAGTGTATCTGCAGAGAGCTCCGCTATTTCTGACAGTTCTCTGACAGTTCCTTCACATTTACAGCGGTTGAAACATTGTATCTATTTGTTTCCGAATAAAAACATCTGTATCCTAAATGGAAACAAATAGATACAATGTTTCAACCGCTGTAAATGTGAAGGAACTGTCAGAGAACTGTCAGAAATAGCGGAGCTCTCTGCAGGGGACACTTTTTGCCGGCTGTAGAAGGGATGAAAATCGGCCGATCGGGAAAAATTCGATTCGTGCATCCGAAGTTTGCTAATTTTCGGATTCGGTGCGAATCGAATTTTTCCTAATATTCTAAACGAATTCCACTTCGCCAAGTTTGATTCGCTCATCTCTAGTCGGGACGTACGGGCGCCGCCGCCGGCGGCGGCGGGAAATGTAAAAATTTTAAAAAAATGACATTTTTTTTTTTTTTTACAATTTTACATAGTAAAACATTGCTGTCTCAACCAATTTCACATACATTTTGTCCCGAGTGCTTTGTCCGGCGCCCTGCCTGCATTTTGTCTGTTCTTTCTGCCTGGAAACTGAGAAACGTCCATGGCATCCAAAAAGTGTCCCTTTAGGTCAAAAGCGGTTTAGATCAGCTAGAGAACAGCGATAGTAAATCAGAACCACTTGCAGAATTGAATGATAATGATTTGTGGGGAAATTCGTCATCAGACACTGAAAACGATTTTGCGACTGAGCTCAGCAAGGTACGAACTTGGCGCTATATTTCAAATTTCAGTGTTTTTGGTTTGATTATATTATTGAATAAATTTTTTATTATTATTATATTATTTTTATGATTATTTATTAAATTATAATTTATGATTTTGTGTTTCAAATTTTATCATACCCGGGATGTTTACTAGACTCTTGTTCAGACAGATTTCAGTGAGTTTTTCCTAAAAATTACAGACCTACAATTAAAAAAATACATATTTCCATGCAAAAAAATGGTACCGCTTTCAGCACCAAAAATCTGAAATAATCATACCGCCAGGGGGTTAAGGGACCAAAACTAATGGGACAGAATAATAATCATAAATCAAACTTTCACTTTTTAATACTTGGTTGCAAATCCTTTGCAGTCAATTACATCCTGAAGTCACGCATAGACATACAGATGCTGGGTTTCATCCTGGTGATGCTCTGCCAGGCCTCTACTGCAACTGTCTTCAGTTCCTGCTTGTTCTTGGGGCATTTTCCCTTCAGTTTTGTCTTCAGCAAGTGAAATGCATGCTCAATCGGATTCAGGTCTGGTGATTGACTTGGCCATTGCATAACATTCCACTTCTTTCCCTTAAAAAACTCTTTGGTTGCTTTTGCAGTATGCTTTGGGTCATTGTCCATCTGCACTGTGAAGCGGCGTCCAATGAGTTGTGAAGCATTTGGCTGAATATGAGCAGATAATATTGCCCGAAACACTTCAGAATTCATCCTGCTGCTTTTGTCAGCAGTCACATCATCAATAAATACAAGAGAACCAGTTCCATTGGCAGCCATACATGCCCACGCTATGACACCACCACCACCATGCTTCACTGATGAGGTGGTATGCTTAGGATCATGAGCAGTTCCTTTCCTTCTCCATACTCTTCTCTTCCCATCACTCTGGTACAAGTTGATCTTGGTCTCATCTGTCCATAGGATGTTGTTCCAGAACTGTGAAGGCTTTTTTAGATGTCGTTTGGCCAACTCTAATCTGGCCTTCTTGTTTTTGAGGCTCACCAGTGGTTTACATCTGGTGGTGAACCCTCTGTATTCACTCTGGTGAAGTCTTCTCTTGATTGTTGACTTTGACACACATACACCTACCTCCTGAAGAGTGGTCTTGATCTGGCCAACTATTGTGAAGGGTGTTTTCTTCACCAGGGAAAGAATTCTTCGGTCATCCACCACAGTTGTTTTCCGTGGTCTTCCGTGTCTTATGGTGTTGCTGAGCTCACAGGTGTGTTCCTTCTTTTTCAGAATGTTACAAACAGTTGTTTTGGCCACGCCTAATGTTTTTGCTATCTCTCTGATGGGTTTGTTTTGTTTTTTCAGCCTAATGATGGCTTGCTTCACTGATAGTGACAGCTCTTTGGATCTCATCTTGAGAGTTGACAGCAACAGATTCCAAATGCAAATAGCACACTTGAAATGAACTCTAGACCTTTTATCTGCTCATTGTAATTGGGATAATGAGGGAATAACGCACACCTGGCCATGGAACCGCTGAGAAGCCAATTGTCCCATTACTTTTGGTCCCTTAACAAGTGGGAGGCACATATGCAAACTGTTGTAATTCCTACACCATTCACCTGATTTGGATGTAAATACCCTCAAATTAAAGCTGACAGTCTGCAGTTAAAGCACATCTTGTTTGTTTCATTTCAAATCCATTGTGGTGGTGTATAGAGCCAAAAATGTTAGAATTGTGTCGATGTCCCAATATTTATGGACCTGACTGTATGTATATAGGTAATGTAATAAACTATATTATACTCATTGCTGTTAATTGTTGTGTATATCACTCGTTCTGGCCGGAAGGGCATGGCTACAAGGTCACATGCACACTGCATCACTTCCACTTGTACGGAAGACGTCAACACTACATATTGCTCGACAAACGATTTTTTTAGATTGGTTAATGTAGGCCATGATTTTGACCAACGAACGAACTCCTCTCAGTTGTTGGATGATTTTCTAATCGTGTATTCCCACCTTTAGTTAGAGCATTCATTAAATAGGCCGATTCGCACTAATAATAAATCTGGGTCTGCACACACATCTGCACACACACTTTGAAGCATATGCATGAACACGAGCAGCACTCCACATGGGTGTGCACCTAGCCACTCTATGCAGCACTGTGAGCAATGATATGAGCATGTTTCCGAGCCAACTAACAGAAATTCTCTGATAGCTCCACACAATGAAGGTTATTTACTAAAACTGGAGTGTGCAAAATCTGGTGCAACTCTGCATAGAAACCAACCACTTCCAGGTTTTATTGTCAAAGCTTAATTGAACAAGCTGAAGTTAGAAGCTGATTGGCTACCATGCACAGCTGCACCAGATTCTCAGTGCACCAGCTTTAGTACAGCTACTCCAATGTGTGCCACAGCAATTTGTGACCATGGTGAAAAGAGGGTGCCTTACAGAACATGGCCCATTGTAACAAAACTTTTCACATATATATGCTAAAAATAATGATACTGACTCACATAAATAATAAATAAAATACCATTCCATTTTTATAAATAATTCTCATTTAGCTTCCTTTAACACATGAGCACAACACACTTCAAAGTTCTGCATTTTTCCAGCTCTGACGTTTTTTGTAGTTCTCCATGAATAACATCTTAGAGTTGATGTTGGAAGACTTCCTGCTGCTAGATGCTGTGATCACAGGTCTGAAATAAAAAAGATAGCTCTACAGGCAGCACAGTGGCTAAATGGTTAGTACTTCCACCAAGCAGTACTAGGGTTGTTGGCTTACATCCGAAATACAGCACCACCTGCTTGGAGTTTGCATGTTCTCCCTGTGCCTGTGTGGGTTTCCTACCACACTCCAAAGACATGCTGGTAGGTTAATTGGCTCCTGTCTAAATTGGCCCTAGTATGTGAGTTAGGGACCTTAGATTGTACACCCCTTGAGGGTTAGGGGCTGATGTAAATGTTCAATATATATACTGTATATGTAAAGTGCTGCATAAATTGACAGTGCTTTATAAGTACATGTAATATAGACCAGCTGTCACTAATGAAAGTGTTACTAAACCCAGGACCCTGCATTCATTATATCTGGTCTCCCACAAAACATGGAAGTGTAATTATTTTAGTAAATATAAACTGCTAAATACCTTTTCTCATCAGCAGTATATAGCAGTCTTGTGATTTCCGACCAAGCACTGGTTAAAGCTTGTAGAAGGCGTTTTCATTTTGCTCTAGAAGGATGCAGAACCCCTGACCTCTGTCTGGACAGTGCTTATTGGCCCTGTGCTGATCACCTGCACTCTCCCAAGAAAAAAAAAAAACCTCTCTAGCAATACACAACAAACTGGACATGTGTAGAGTGTCTCCACATGATCAGGAGATAAGAGGGAGACACTGGAAGAAGGGGAGGATCAGAGAAGTCAGGATCAAAGTGTCCAGCTGAGTACTGGTTAAAGCTTGTAGGAGGAGTTTTCTTTCTGCTCTGACTGTCCAGTGAGGCTGCATAACCCTTTTACCTCTGTCTGGACAGTGCTGATTGGCCCTGTGCTGATAACATGCACCATCCCAAAAAAAAAAAACTCTCTAGCAATACACACTAAAATGAGCATGTGCAGAGTGACTCATAGAGCTCTGTATTATCAGCAGGTGGATTGGGACAGAAGAAGATGGGGAGGATCAGAGAAGACAGGATCAAACAGCCTTTTTACACAATGCAGAGGATTAACCCCTTAGGATCCACAGTGAGTATAACAAGCATGCTTTACTGCATATACAGATACATGCTGTTACTGTTGTGGGTTTAGTAACACTTTAAGGTCTGAATTTAAAGTATCTATACTCAGTGCCCCCAGCCCAAAATACATTATTTTTAATGTCCCTAGGGGCAAATGTCCTCCTTGCCATTAAACCCAGTCCTCTCCTGTATCTTCTGCATTTTGGTCATATCAGCAAAGATTCAGCATATGGAAACGGGAAGGATCATTCCAAGATTTAGATAATAAGCAAAAACATAACATATTCAGATTTGTGTACTTGATAGTTTATTTTACTTGGATTTGAAAAAGCTTCTCTTTTAAAAGGTAATCAACTACATTAGGTATGTTTGCAGAGATCTGTACAAATTAAGAGAATAGGTACTGTTGTATTTGATTACATTGTTTTTCAGTGGTTAGTTTTTTGTCTACAGCACAAAGTAACAGCATGGTACTACAGGAAGACTTCAAAGCAAAAAGGGCAGGAACTGCAACCTATGCTGCTGGGGTAGCTTACAGTTCATGGGGGGGGGGGGGTATTTGGCCTTTGTGCCTGAGGGTTTTAAAGGACCTTGTCCCAGCACTAAGGTTTAGCTAAATAACTTTCCACTTAGCTATTTACAGCCTTTAGAACTTATTGAAGAGCAGTCATTTTGCATGTTGAAATTGTCCTGTACAGGTCAATTAGAACTGTCATTGTTGAGATAGAAATTTATCATTTTGAATGTTCTGAAAGTTTGCAGGATTTTCTTTTCCGCATATTGTAGGCATAATTGTATCCTTTCATTTACAAACAAAAAAAAACTTAGGCTGATAAAAGTAAAGAACAAGCTTTGCCTAAAGGTATTCTCAGTAATACATCAATAATATAATACTGTGCTGTACAATGCAATGATAAGTAACTTTCCATCCAGACATCCAGCAGGCCGAAAATTAAACTCTGAGCCAGATAACACCAAGTTCCAAAATATGCATTAGAATGACACATATTATTAAGGAAACGTCATCTAACAGATATGAAACAACTCTTTCAGCTAGAATGCTAGATGATCATAATTATATCTATCATTGTAATGAACTGGGCAGGCTGCAAAGCTAATATGAGGGCATTTACAGCCCAACTTCAACCAGAAGTATTTTTTTTTTTTACTTTCCATAAAATGAGGGAGGGTGAGGATGTCAGTCGGGATTTATGCTGCTGTTTGTGTCTCCACATTCAGTAACAGCCAGTCAAATGCATCAGGAATTGATGACAAATCTCTCCATAGGAACAGATACAGAAACAATTATTGGTAAAATTAGAAAAGGCTAAAAGCTCTGTGAGGTTTTTATTGTTGCCTGTAGTTTCATGTTCTGGTGTCTTCCTCCAGGGTTTACGTGAATAAAGTTTGGCAGAATGTTCTCCAAAGGACTCACAGAAGGTGCTAGAACAGAGGTGTCCAATTGGCGGCCCTCCAGCTGTTGCAAAACTACAAGTCCCATCATGCCTCTGCCGTTGGGAGTCATGCTTGTAACTGTAAATCTTCCAATGTCTCATGGGACTTGTAGTTTGGCAACAGCTGGAGGGCCACCAGTTTGACACCCATGTGCTAGAAGGTCCAAATCCCTTAATTAAGCAAACTAAAAACGGTTTTGTTTAGAATTGGACTTTGAAATATGCACTTGACGACCAGCGACACACCTGTACGTCGCTGGACTTTAAGTGGCTTCACCGGGATGATGCCTGCAGATGGTAAAGTGTAACATGGTGAAAGACCTGGTGGAGAGAGACGTTACTGTATGTTGTCCCTTTTGAAATGACTCTGTAGTTAGTGTCAGATAAGAGTCACTGGCAGGTGAAAAGACAGTAGGCTCAATTCACTAAAGAATATCACATGAGATAAGTGGGTCACATGACACATTTTTTCCAATTATCTCATGTGATATTCAAAATGTCAATTTACTGTCAGTATATGTGGTATTTACTGCACTAGGTAAAGAAGCAAGCTAAATACAGTGTAAACTGACTCTAAACTCAATTCACTAAACTACTATATATAAATAAATACATACATTTGTTGAATAAGCTGTGGTCTATCCACGCATTATTCCTAGACTATATTCAATCAGCCTGGCTGTTAAGGACCTGGCACCCACCGGCATCCTTAACAACTTGTAAACAACATAGTTGTTGAGGAGAAGGCGGCCGCTGTGTTCTTAACAACCATGATTTATTTGCTGTCAGTGGGGTTCCCTGCTGACAACAAAATGTAAACAAAAGAATTGCTGGCATTTAAAAAAAAAAACAGAATGGGGGTCCCCCCAATCCTTACCATGCACTCCAGGTCTGGTATGGAATTTAAGGGAACCCCACACAAACATTTTTTGAAAACATGGTGTGGGGTCCCACTGAAAATCCATACCAGACCCTTATCCAAACATGCATCTTGGCAGGCCAGGTAAGGGCCCCCCTGAACCATACCAGTCCATATGCCCTTAACATAGAGGACTCCCCCCCCCAAAGAACCTTGTCCCTATGTTGATGGGGACAAGGGCATCTTCCAGGGCATTGTCCAGGGTTGTGGGGGTCTTGCGGGCATGGGATTCCCTTTAACACACGTGCAGAAGAGCAGGATGGGGAAATGTCACCTAAGAGTAAAGGGATGACCTTCATGGATAGCAGGAACATTTGAAATCCTTTAGTTTAGTTAAAAATGTTTTTAAATATGCAAGCCCAAGAGATAGCACTTACATTCAATGATAACTGTCCCTTACGCTGCTGGATTCTGTTTTGGTTGAAATCCAAAGTCCCCTTGTGGTGTTGGGGGGTTAATAGAGCCTGTCATAGGCTGACTATGCCTGTCTTTCTACCCTCCCTTCTCCATTATAGCTTCCTTCAATGAAAAGTGAAAATGAACCATTCATTAATCTGCTCATCCTCCATTCAGCCTCCTCCTGCAGGCTTCCTTCTCACTGTGCAACTGGTCCCCAGAAGCCAATCCTCTTCTGCGCTCCATCTGCTGGTCTCACTCTGACATCATAAAGTACAATGCTGAACCAGCAATACATTTCCCCCCAAGTTCAGCTTTAGTATGTAAATGTGCCCACAACTTTACGAAAAATAAAACATTTACCTTTTCTGTGTTGCCTATTGCTTGCTTGGTTTTTGTTGCTGGGATTAAAACTTTATAAAATGTTCAGTGTGTGCTGATTAGTCTTTCATTTTAAAGCCATACTCTGGGATACGCAAATATTGTCTAAATACAAGAAGCATGTGAATTGTAATCGAATGTTGGTGTGCTTTGTGTATTTCTTCTAGATCTGTGCAGTAATCTAGTGTACAATTTTGCCTTTGTACAGGAGCTTCCCGTAATAACGACCGGTCACTGTTACTTTCGATTATATGCAGGATGACTTTTATCCAGCCCCTCCTGTAGTTGTGTACGGTTGGTGGACCCTCCCACAGTTGTACTCTTTGCTTAGGCTATATTCAGCACAGTGATGGTGTCACCACTACTTTTACAAGGTAATATATGGGATTACAAAGCCATTTGGTACACACAAAAGCAATTTATAATTCTTTTTGGATATTGAGGAATATATTTGTTTTTTGCCAGGATTTCAGCTTTAAATATCTAATGTGAATATTATTAAAACGTATTTTGCCTAAACCATTTTATGATTATTATATACAGTAATTTATACAAAGTGGTCTTTTAAATGGGCTTTAATTTATTACATAATTAACACCTTCCCGCCCAGCCTATAGCAGATTGACTGCTGGGCGGGACACTTGCCTTTGTGACTGGGCGTCATATGACATGCTGTCAAAACAAGCTGCTTAGCAGCACGATCTGTCACCGACTGTGTCCACGGGACACAGCCGATGACATATCTCTACACTGGCCCGTTGCCAGTATCATGTGACTGCTGGGACCAATCACAGCAGATCACATGTCAATTAACAATCAATTAACAGACAACATGTCAAGAATGGATGGCTTCCTGTAATGATATACATTGTATACAATTATGTTATTAGCTGTGACTGGTCTAGGCAGTCACATGATACAGACAGGGCAAATCACAGCCCATCTGTATCATGTGTTCAGCTTTGCCCAATCACAGCTAATCACAACAAAAGACTGAATGAATCAGTTTCATTCAGTAACAATGATTGCAAATATCAATGAAATACATTGGTATTAGCAATCATAATGTGTCAAAAAAAAAAAAAAGAAATCCTAATCACTTGCCCAGAGTAGTTCAATGTTACTATGGTAACATTGTATTGCTTTGGTCACAGGGTGCTGAAAAATAAAGTACTAAAAAAAGAAAAAAATGTAATAAAGAATAAAAAAAAAAGCTCTATTTGAAAAAAAAATTCAATTATTATCATTTTCACCAAAGAAATGTTAGCAGAATACATTTTGACCTAAATTTATGAAGAAATGTTATTTATTTGCAAAATTTTATAACAGAAATGAAGAAAAATGTTTTTTTTTTTTCAAAAGTTTCAGGTGTTTTTTGTTTTATTTAGCTAAAAAAATTAAAAACTCAGTGATAAAATACCACCAAAAGAAAGCTCTATTTGTGTGAAAACAATGATAGGGCAGCACAGTGGCTAAATGGTTAGCACTTCTGCCTGGCAGTACTCAGGTCGTTGGTTCAAATCCCAACCATGGCACCACCTGTATGGAGTTTGCATGTTCTCCCTGTAACTGCGTGGGTTTCCTCCAGGTACTCCGGTTTCCTCCCACACTTCAAAGACATGCTGTTAGGTTAATTGGATCCTGTCTGAATTGGCCCTGGTATGTGTATGTATGAATGTGAGTTAGGGACCTTAGATTGTACACTCCTTGAGGGTTAGGGACTGATGTGAATGTACAATATATACAGTCAGGTCCATAAATATTGGGACATTGACACAATTCTAAGATTTTTGGCTCTATACACCACCACAATGGATTTGAAATGAAACGAACAAGATGTGCTTTAACTGCAGACTGTTAGCTTTAATTTG